CGGCGGGGCTGCGCCATCATCTCCTTCAGCGTGTGCACCAGCATCAGGAGGTTCCTCGAAGGCCGCTCCCTGCTCCTCCACTCGAGGCCGCTTAGCCGCAAGCCTCTTGATGTGCAGCGCGTGGGCGGACTTGAGGCCGTCGACCTTCTGCTTGGCCTCGGCGAAGAGGGTGCCCGCCATCGCCGTGAGCCCTGCCTTGAGCTGTTGCACACGTGACTCGATCTCGATGTTGTCCGACTCGTCAAGCTCCACACCGTCACACTTGAGCAGGTCCGACACGCTGATGTCAAAGACCTTCGCGAGACGCTCCTGATCCATGATGTCCCCCAACTCAAGCTTGACCGTCGCCGTGGGTGGCTGCTTAGCTGCCTCTTGAGACTCAACCAAGTCCTGCAAGGGAGTCGAATGCTCGCCTTCTGCATTGGTGAGCTCCGCGAGCAGCTCCAGCACCACCGTCTTCTGATTGTTGAGCTGAGCTTCGTACTGTTCGTACTTCTCAACTGCCGACTCCAACCGCTTGTTGATCCCGTGCACTTTCCAGTGAGCCCGATTGAGACGAACTTGAATAGCTTCTTCTGCCTGCTTCGGCGCGGTGAGGGCCTTGGCTGCACGACGATGAGCTGCTGCGCCTGCAGAGTCACCCATACGTTCAGCGAAGCCTGCCATGGTCTCGTACTCCGCGGCGGCGAACTTTGCCGCAGCAGCACCAACAGGAACGGGTTGCTGACCGCCTCCCTTGGGGTGGCCACCTCCAGCACCTTTCTGTTGCTGCCCTGCGTCGCCACCGCCTGGACCCTTGCCCCACGCAGGGCCACCGTTGAGCTGCCCGTAGCCAAACAACTGACGCGCTGCATCACCAGACCATGCCGAAGTTGGGACTTGCTTATAGGCTCCACAGTGTTTGCAATAATAGAACCGAGCGGCATTCTTGGCGCAACCACAAGCCTGGAACTTCCACTTCTTGCCTGGCAGCTGGTTGTCTGCCTGATCCTGCACACCGCCGCCGCCCTTGCAGAACAAAGGACCAGGCACCAGAGGAGGCCAGACATCGCTGTACGACAAGCCCTTGCCTCCGCCTTTTGCCTTGCCCCACGCCATGTCGAGGGAGTGGCTCTATGGACTGACCACCGACCAGCGCACAGCCTAGTCGTGGTGAAAGCTGCGATGCGTGGGGCGGACCACGCACCGCTCAGCCTGGGGCGAACCAGGCGAAAGTTGAAAGCTGGCCGCGGACTAGCGGTATCCACTTTGTTCCCAGGGGAAACCAAAACCTTGAGCCAAAATGGCTACGGAGAGGAGGAGGAGGAGGAGGAGGAGGAGGAGGAGGAGGAGGAGGAGGAGGAAGGAGGAGGAGGAGGAAGGAGGAAGGAGGAGGGAAAGGGGGAAGTGAGGAGGGGGAGGAGGAGGAGGAGGGAGGAGGAGGAGGAGGAGTGAGAGGAGGAGGGGAGGAGGAGGAGGAGGGGAGGGGTGAGGGGAGGAGGAGAGGAGGGAGGGAGGAGGGAGGGAGGGGGAGGAGGGAGGGGGGAAGGAGGGTGGGGGAGGGGGGGGGGGGAGTGGGGAGAGGGGGGAGGGGAGGAGGAGGAGGAGGAGGAGGAGGAGGGGGAGGGTACCTCGGTCCGACCGTACTGGGCTCTCTGCCTCTCGGCGACGCTCCAAGGCCAATGCCTCCCCCCGGGCGACCCCCCTGGACCGCTGGGCCCGGGAACCTCACCCGCCCGAGCGCCGGCAGCCGAGACCCGCGCTGCGCCGAGCGCGGCAGCTTACCAGCCAGCGAGGTGGCGTAGCGACCTTGCGCCGCGGCGTACAGCCAACCCGTATCATGAGGACGCACGATAAGGATGCAAAGGCCTTGGAAGACCATGCCGACACTTTGCGAGCGGGGCGCGGCAAGCGAAAGCGGCCAAGGATGGGGCGAAGAGGAAGGATGCAAGGGTAACCTTGGCAAAATTGCCCATCCGTACTATGCGGGTTGACTGTAAGCGGGCTGCGAGCGCGGCACGCTGCATTGGAGACGAGAGCGTCCACGCGCGGCCTTACACGGGCAGCTTACGCACCAAATTCGGCGCAGGCGGCACCTTTTATGAAGAGGGAGCGTTGGGGTGAAGGGTTTATTGCAACACCGCTGACGCGTCTCGGATTTACACTGGTCCTTTTCGTCCTCCTCCTGCTCCTGCTCCTGCTCCTGCTCCTGCTCCTGCTCCTGCTCCTGCTCCTGCTCCTGCTGCTGCTCGTCCTCCTCCCCCTCCTCCTCCTCCTCTTTCTCCTTCTCCTCCTCCTCCTCCTCCTCCTCCTCCTCCTCCTCCTCCTCCTCCTCCTCCTCCACCCCCTCCTCCTCCTCCTCCTCCTCCTCCTCCACTCCCTCCTCCTTCCTCATCTCCTCCTCCCTCCTTCCTCTTCCCCTCCTCCTCCTCCTCCTCCGCCTCCTCCTCCTCCTCCTCCTCCTCCTCCTCCTCCTCCTCCTCCTCGCTCAAGTGGGCGTTGGCGCGCCGGCGACGCCAGCGAAGGCGTTCGAGGCTAAATCCTCCTCCTCCTCCTCCTCCTCCTCCTCCTCGCTCAAGTGGGCGTTGGCGCGCCGGCGACGCCAGCGAAGGCGTTCGAGGCTAAATTCTGCGACGTGGAGGCACCGAAAGACGCGGCAACGCCACGGGACCCTGCGGACTTCAACCTTGAACGATCGGGTCCGCGATCGATTCAAGGTTGAACGATCGACGCGGTGTCCAAAACCTTTGCGTGCGCCGACGCCGCGCAAACCTACCGTACCCCCCTGAGGGAACCCATCGTATCGACGATCTCTCGAGAGGGGTGTCGAAATCGGTGGGTCCCCCAGGTGAGTGAGGGCCACAGCTCCCCCCGTTTGGGTCTGTCTTAGGAAGCAACGCCTGGGAGGTCTTCGCGAGAGATACTTACGGCGCTTACAGGAGCTCGACCACGAGAAACAACCCTAAGAACCCAGGACGTCCATTGATTTTTGGTGTGGGAACGTCACGCTTTCCATAGCAAAATCATCGAAACCCAAGGAACCCAGGGCACCCTGGAGGCAAGCAGGGTGCTTCTTGGCACAAGCTTCCACTGCAGGCCCTAATTCTAAGGACCGCTGAACCAGACGAAGCCGGATTTGAACCTAAGACTACGCCCGATAGGGCCGGATGGAACGGGACTCACTGAGACTACCCATCGGTCGGAAGAAGTAGGTAGAAACATGAAGTAGGTAGGAAGACGTTGAAAATAGATTGGGTTTCGTCCGCCCCCTAAGAAGGACGGAAAAGGTGAAGCTACTCGATCATTGAAGTAAGAAGGCGCTTAAAGTGTATTGGAATCGGGGAATCCAAAAAAACATACTTTTAACGACAGATGGGTACGCCGGATGAGCCCAGCAGCTTTCGGCCACGGATCTGCCAGCGCCGATGCTGAGGCTCAGCCGCCCAGGAGTTACACCCAGAGGCATGTCCAGGGTGCCCCCGCTGTGGCGCCGCCCCGTCGGAGGTCCAGGCGGCCCGGCCGCAGCAGGGCGGGGTCGAGGGTGTCGGCCCGGTTGGTGGCCATGATCACCTTCACGGTGGTGTCCTTGGGCCGCACAATGACATGGTAGTGCTATGTGTCCTCCTCGGAGGCGTGAGTCCAGCCCGAACATATAGTATGCCCACCTTGCAGTGTATCGTTTCCCGAGCGGTGTGGCCAGAAAGCGGCCGCCACGACGCACATACTGTAAGATTTCTCGGTGCGCGCGTCGCCCCTGGGGGGGCGACGCACACACAGTAGTAGTATGCTGGGGTGGCGCCGAGTCCTGGTCGAACCCGTCCATCTGGTTGAGCAGCTCCAGCAGAATGCGCTGCACCTCGAGAGCCGCATGAGAGAGCGCCGTGATCGAGCCATCAGGACGAGCGAACCCGACGGATCTGCAACCGCAGGTCCGTCCCTGTTTGAGACACGTTGGCCGTGCCAACACCTCATGCCAGGCCATCTTTGACCTGCAAAGAGCACAGCTGGAAAGCATCGAACATGCAAGCATACCGAAAACAGTTCGAAGTCAGCATCTAACACGAGCCAACCAATATTGAGACAACATTGGGGACAAGGTATCACGATCGAAGCCCAAATCAGGCCACAAAAGACCCCCAAGAGGCCCCCGGGAGGCCGACAAAACCGCCTCCAAGATGATTCCAAGAAGTCTCCCAAGAGATCCCCGCAGGCATCCAAGAGGCCTCAGACCTACAACCAAGGCACGGTGGCGGGATGTGCCGAAGTCCACTAAATCCGCCGCCCCCTTGTGATTTATGACAGGGGTGCCTGGCGTGCTGGATCCTATCAATTTTGGTCCGGCCACCCGGAAAGGCTCTCAATTCCTCAATTGTTCGCTCAAGATGGCCCAAGATGGTCTCCAAAATGGCCACGTTGGCCCAAGATGGCCTCCAAGTTCGCCCAAGATGGCCTCCAAGACGGCCCAGGAGAGGAGGAGATGCCTCCAAGTCCGCCCAAGAAACCTCCAAGACGGCCCAAGACGGCCCAAGAGGTGCCCAAGAGGCCTCCAAGACGGCCCAAGAGGACTCCGAGAGGTCCTCCAGGAGGGCCCGAAGAGGCTAAAATCATTGATTTTCCTTAGGTGTTTAAAGGTTTTTCGTATTTGCTCCTTTTCGGCGTTCCGACGACCCAAGACGACCCAAGAGGCCCCCAAGAACGCCCCCACAGCGCCCAAGAGGCCTCCAAAATGGCCTCAGGACTGCCCAAGAGGCCCCCAAGACGGCCCCAAGAGGGCACAAAGACGACCCAAGAGGCCCCCAAGACCGCCCAAGATGGCCTCTAAGACGGCCCTGGAGCACCCCAAGAGGGCCCCAAGTCGGCCCAGAGAGGCCCCCCAAACGGCTTCCGACGGCGTCAGACGGGCCAGGAGCCCACCAAGATGGCCGAAGTTGGCTCGAAGCTGGCCCAAGACGGCCCAAGAGGCCTCCAAGAGGGCAAAAAAAGCCAGAAACAGTGATTTGTCCTGCGGTTTTTGAAGAATTTGGGCATTTGGCATTTGCTTCTTCTCGGCATTCCGACGGCCCGAGAGCCCCCAAAGATCGCCCAAAGATCGCCCAAAGATCGCCCAAGACGGCCCCAAGATGGCCCCAGAACGGCCCCAGAGACCCCCAAGACGGCCAAGACGGCCCAGGAGACTTTGAAGACACCCAAGATGGCCTCCAAGACGGCTCTGGAGCACCCCAAGAGGCCCCCAAGTCGGTCCAGAGAAGCCCCCCAAACGGCTTCCGACGGCGTCGGCCGGGCCAGGAGCCCACCAAAACGGCCGAAGATGGTCCTGAGATGGCCCAAGACGGCCCAAGAGGCCTCCAAGCGGGCCTCCAGGAAGGTCCGAAAAGACCAAAATCACTGGTTTCCCAAAAGTTTTTGAAGGATTGTGGCATTTCCTGTTTTTCGGCCAGCCCGAGACGGCCCAAGTGCCCCCAAAGATCGCCCAAGAGGCCCAAGACGGTCCCAAGAGGCCCCCAAGACTGCCCAAGAGGCCTCCAAGACGCTCACGATGGCCTCCAAGACGGCCCAAGACGTCCTCCAAAAAGGCCCGAAAGGGTCAAAATGGCCTCCAGACGGCCAAGATGACCTTCAAGATGCCCACGTGTTCCCCGAAGGCTTTCCAAACCGATTCGGGGAACACATGGTCCGATAGCTTGGCAGGGCTGGCCTCATCGTTCGGCCACACAGGCGCTTCCAAAAGGCAGGGGACGGCGGTGATTCGCCGCAGGCGTCTTCGATCCGCTGCCCCCAATTGGCTTGCCACAGGGGTGCCTGGCGTGTTGAATCCTACACGGCTTGGTTTTGGTTCTCCTCCACAAAAACTCCCCCTGGGGCTCCGGCCCAGCGCGCCGGCCACCCGGAAAGCTGCCGAAAATGTACACGTCGTAGGTTTTCGGGCTGTGGATGGCGTCCAGGACGGCCAAGAGACGGCAAAGATGGCTCAAGATGGCCTGCTAGTTCGCCCAAGATGGTCCAATCTGGCCTCCGCGACGGCCTAAGAGGGCCCAAGACTTCTCCAAGTCCGCCCAAGAAGCCACCAAGACAGCCCAAGATGGCCCAAGACGGCCCTAGAGGCCTCCAAGAGGCTTCCAAGACGGCCCAAGACGGCCCCCAAGAGGCCTCCAAAGAGGTCCACCAGGAGGGCCCGAAGAGAACAGAATCATACATCCATTGATTTAAGGATTGTGGCGTTGCTTCTTTTCGGCCGTCCGACGGCCCAAGACGGCCTAAGAGGCCCCCGCGGCCGCCCCAAGATCGCCCCAGAGGCCTCTAAGACGGCCCCATGACGGCCCAAGGGGCCTCCAAAACAGCCCCAAAGGGGCCTAAAACGGCCCAAGAGGTCTCCGAGACGTCCAAGATGGCCTCCAGGACGGCCCTGAAGCGCCCCAAGAAGGCCCCAAGTCGGTTCAGAGAGGCCCCCAAGACGGTTCCGGATGGAGTCAGACGGGCCAGGAACGCCCTCCCCTCAAGCGGCCAAAGAGGCCTCCCAGAGGCCCCCGGGAAGCTCCCAGGAGGCCCCAAAAGTGACCCAAGAAGCTCCCAACAGGGTTCCTCATTCTTCTCCTCTTCCTCTTTTGTTGTCCCTCTCCCCATCCTCCTTCTCCTCCTCCTCCACGAGATCTCCGAAAGGTTTTGACAACGGCCGGGGGAGCGTATGGTCCAATAGGATGGCCAAATTTGGCCAAACGTTTGGCCACACAGGCAGATCCAGAAAGGCAGGGGGCGGCGGCGATTCGTCGTAGGCGTCTTCGGTATCAACATCCATAAATACATCCCGACGCATATTCATTTTGCAAACGCATGCGAATGTTAATGTAATCGTACGTGTGTGTACGCAAAATAGAAGACGACAAAGTAAAGAAATTCGCATATACATAAACAAACACTATAGAATCAGATGTAGAACTATGTTTGTATACGCGCGCAAATGCAAAACATTTGAATGTGTGCATCATAACGTACCATACAAAGATACGAACCTTATACAGAACAAGTACAGCACCGACAACGGTATAGCCACCAGCACAACCACTAGCGCAACCACCAGCCCCGCGCCCGGCGGCGGCGGTACGCAGCCTCGCGGTCGGCACCGGTCTGGGAATCGAAGCGCTTGGTGCCGATGGCGTCGATCTCGTCGATGAAGACAATCGCCTGGCCCCCCGCCCGCACGCTGCAAGCCGCCTGCTGGGCCCTGCCTCGTACCTCCTCGTCTTCCTCCCCCTCCTCCTCCTCCTCATCTTCCTCCTCCTCCTCCACATCTTCCTCCTGCAAGCCGAAGACAGGTCGAGAAACACACGCGCGCGCCCGCCGCTCCCTGTCCGCCGCCGAGAACGCAACGAAGATGAACGCCGCCACGACGAGCGCCGCCCCAGCCCGCCCCGCCCAGCGCCGGCCGGCTAGCTGGCCAGCTCGGCCGCCAGCGCGGCGCGCGGGGCGAGCTCACCACCCAGCCGAACGCGCTCCGCACCTGGCGCGCGGTGGCACGGTGGAGCGCGATGCTCAGCTCCGCGCCCCAGCGCGACGCCAGCGCACTCGCGGCCGCCTCGGCCTCGAGGCCGTCGCCCAGGCCCTGGGCTCGGTCGCGCGCGAGCCAGCGGAGGTGGCGAAGCGCGGCCCTGCCAAACCGGCCGGCCGTCTCGTGGGCCAGCGGCAGGACTGGCCAAGGGGGGTGCCTCGGGGTAGCGGCGGCGCTTGTCCGCTTCCCCCCCGGCGGCGACTGCGCCGTCTGAGTCGGCGGCCGCAGCCAGGGCGCGCGCGCCCCCCAGAACGCTGTACCAGACGGCGACGTCCGCCAGCATCTGGGGGCAGTCGCCGCGCTGCACCTCCAGGTCCAGCAGCGCCTCCTCGCGCTCGACCTCGAGCGGCGCCCCGCAGGCGCTGCAGGGGCCACTGGGCAGGGTGTCCGCGAGGCCGCGCGCGGCGCAGCCTGCTGCGGCGCAGTGCCCGCGCCACCGATCCCCAGGCCGGGACTGGGACCTGCCGGGCCGTGCGGAACCCGCACTCCTCCTCCTCCTCCCCCTCCTCCTCTTCCTCCTCCTCCTCTTTCTCCTCCTCCTCCGCTGGCTCCTCCTCCATCTCCTCCCCATCCGTGTCCTCCTCCTCCTCCTCCTCCTCCACTTCCTCCTCCTCCTCATCCTCCTCCTCCTGCTCCTCCTGCTCCTCCTCCAACTCTTCTTACTAGTATTAATATTATCAGTATGGTTATATCATTAGTATAACGATTAGTAATATTGTTAGTAGTAGTAGCAGTAGTAGTAGTAGTAGTAGTAGTAGTAGTAGTAGTAGTAGTAGTAGTAGTAGTAGTAGTAGTAGTAGTAGTAGTAGTAGTGTAGTAGTAGTAGCAGTAGTAGTAGTAGTAGTAGTAGTAGTAGTAGTAGTAGAAGTAGAAATAGAAGTAGAAGTAGAAGTAGAAGTAGAAGTACAAGTACAAGTACAAGTACAAGTACAAGTACAAGTACAAGTACAAGTACAAGTACAAGTACAAGTACAAGTACAAGTACAAGTAGAAGTAGAAGTAGAAGTAGAAGTAGAAGTAGAAGTAGAAGTAGAAGTAGAAGTAGAAGTAGAAGTAGAAGTAGAAGTAGAAGTAGAAGTAGAAGTAGAAGTAGAAGTAGAAGTAGAAGTAGTAGTAGGAGTAGTAATAGTAGTAGTGGTAGTATTAGTATTGGCGTTAGTGTTACTAGTATTGAAATTATATTCGTAATTAGTATTAGCATTTGTTGTATTAAGTTAAATGTTAGTATTAGCAGTATTATGGTGTGAATTGTTCTTCTTATGATTATTAATATTATCAGTCGCCGTCTTCCTAACATTACTATCACTAATATTTCTTTTATATTACTACAAGTAATGATACTATTGGTGTGTTCAACTGCACTCGTGTCAGCATTACGATTGCTAGTAGCATTTTCATTGCTAGTATCGGTAGCAGTGTAAGTAGTATAGAGATTAATAAGAATAATTGCATTCGTTTTATTAGTAGTAGCTGTTGTTTCAAAATCAGTATTCGTATGAGAACTAGTACCAGTATTAGTATTAGTAATAGCGTTAATAGCAGTGTTCGTAGCAGTAGTAACATTAATATTAGTATTACTATTAATATTAATATTAGCATCCGTACTAGTATTAGTAACAGTAATGTGCTGAAGATTAACCACATGAGTACTAGTAACAGTATTCTGAATAGTAACTGGTATTAGTACCATTGTTACTAGTACTAACAGCAGTAATCAGAATAGTACTATCAACATCGTCATTAGTTGCTGTTGTCGTTAATAATATTGTCATGCTCAATAGTAGCATTAATCATATCACTATCAGTAGTAGTAGTCGTAGTAGTAGTAGTAGTAGTAGTAGCACAAGTAGTACTACTAAGTATCATTGCTAGTAGTAGTAGTAGTCGTACTAAGTATTATCGGTAGTAGTAGTAGTAGTTGTAGTAGTAGTAGTATTACAAGCAAAGGTAGTAGTAGTAGTAGTAGTAGTAGTAGTAGTAGTAGTAGTAGTAGCACAAGTAGTAGAAGTAGTAACACATGTTGTGTTGCTATTACTGTGAGTATCAACATTATTTCTCGCATTCGAACCACGCGCGCGCTTCGCGCGCGCTTAGGTTCTAGTCGACTCCGAAGGCGGTGTCAATTTCCATGGGACCTTTTCCATGTGGTCTTCCGGGTTCCTCCCTTTCCCTCATGCGTGATTGTCGGGCGGATACTGCGAAGTTCAAGGAAGGGATTGGCCTGTAGCGTACCAGCGACGACCGACGACGACGACGGCGGACCACCAACGATCAGCATCATTGTCACCTGATCCACGTGTGCGGGAGAGGCGTTTCCGGAGCGTCTTGCGGGCGTCATGGGGGCGTCCTCGCGCCTCGACATTGGGTGGGCGGGTCGGGGGGTGCAGCCAGGGCCACGTGTTCTGAAGGGCTGTTCCGGAGCATGGAGGACGAAGGGCTTCTGGCGGGCTTCTGAGGGTGTGTGTAGAAGCCTCCTGCGAGCTCGGAGGGGGTTTCTCGGGAGCTTCTCGGGTCTTTCTGGAGCCTTTTTGGTGGCTTTTTGGGGCGTCGTGGAGGCCTCCTGGAAGTCTCTTGGGGCCTCCTGGGGGCCTCTTGGGGCAGAGGGCGCCTCTGTTCGGGCATTTGGGGGGCTCTCTGGAGCCTCCTGGGAATATCTTGGGCTAGCTTGGGAGCCTCTGGGGGGGGCTGGGGCCCCTTCTGAACCCTCGTGGAGCCCTCAAGGCCCCCCCAGCCCCCCATGCGAACCAAAGGTCGCAGTTCTGGGCCCATCCCGCAACCGCGTCTGGGTTGTGGGTTAGAGGCTTCTCGGCTGTTCGCTGGGATGATATCGTGGGATGCCTCTCGGGGGGTCTTTTGGAAGCAGGTTTGAAGCCTCCACGGGGGCGTTGTGGAGCTTGTCGGAACCTCTCTTAAGCATCTTTGGGGCCTCTTTGGAGCCTCTTGGAGCCACTTGGGGGCCTCTTGGGGCCTCCTGGGGGTCTCTGGGGGCGGGAAACTCGAAGGGTCGGTTCGCGTTCCCTCTCTTGGGCCCATCTTGAAGCCGTCTTCAGGCCCTCTTCAGGCCCTCTTAGGCCGTCTTTGGGGCCTCTTGGGCCGATCATGCGGCCCTCTTGGGCTGTCTTGGTGGCCTCTTGGGGGCCTCTTAGGCGCCTCTTGGAGCGGCATTAGAGGCTTCTTGGGCAGTCTTGGAGTGTCGGCCGCTCGAAAACGTGAGAAGCAACAGATATGGGAAACACAAAATGAAAATCAATGATTTGGGCGTCTTGGGGCTTTCTTGGAGGTCCTCGCGAAGCGACCTTGGGGCATCTCGGGGGCCTCTTGGGCCGATCATGGGGCCATCTTGGGCGGCTTGGAGCGCTCTTGGGCCGTCTTGGCGGTTTCTTGCCGTCTCCAGAAGCCTAGGTGGACGCCTCGGGAAAGCGGAAAAAGTTCCGGGACTCCGAAAACGGGCCCCTGGCTGCCAAAAAAGGCCCCCGCAGCCCATGGGGGGAATTCGGTTACGGGGGGGGAGAGTTTGGGAAAAGTGTGCGACCCTGGGCCGCGACCCTGGACGCCGCTTTATTAAGCGAGCGTCGTCTTGAAATAGTTGCGTGCATTATTAAGTGTATTATTGCTGGTAGTACTCACTTCCGGATTCTGATGGCTGGTCGTCTTAGTATTAGAATTACTGTGCACATGGTCCGCCTCCTTGTTGCAATTGTTACTACAACTGTCTGTATGTTACTTCGTTTTGTTAGTGTGATTCGTCTTGTTCCCATTACTAGTATTAGCATTACTAGTATTATTTGTCTGATTCGTCTTACTACTGCTCTCATTATGAATATTCCTTCTCCTCCTCCTCTGGCTCCGCCTCCGCCTCCGCCTCCGCCTCCTCCTCTTCCTCCTCCGCCTCCTCCTCCTTATCATCCTCCATCCATCCATCCATCCATCCTCCTCCTCCTCCTCCTCCTCAGCATCATCATCATCATACTCATTCTCCTCCTTCTCCGCCTCATCATCCTCCTCCTCCTCCACCGCACTCTTGGCGGAGGTGATTTAACTCGCTCCTTCGTCCAACCCCCGTCTTCCCCTTGAATAAAAGGTTTACCCCTGACTCCCTCCCCCTCATGAGTGTGGACGCACCACCGCGCGAGGCATTATAGCGACCAAGATTGACCAAGATTCCAAGACGGTTTCAAGACGATTCAAAATGGCCAAGGACGCCCCCGAGAGACCAAAATCCTTTGAAATGTAAAGGCAGTCAATAACGTTTGCCTGCTCACCATTTCGTTTCTGATAGGCTGTTGGGGCATCAAGGTGGCTCAAAGATGGCCCAAGACTCTCTGGAATCTCTGGCCTCCCAGGACTCCCAGGACCCCCTATTAAATGGACTGCCTGGAATCCTTGGACTCCCTGGACTCACTGGGCTCCCTGGACTCCCTGCACTGCCCCAGGACTCAATGGACGCCATCGACTCCGTGGACTCGAACCCTGGACTCCCAGGACTGCTGGACTCCATGGAATCTCTGGGCTCTCCCTGGATTCCCCTGGCGTCCATGGACCCTTGGACCTCCAAGACTCCCTGGACACCTGGGCTTCTGGGAAAGACTCGTGGCTCGGCCAGCTGGTGCTGCCCCCGCCCCCCCCCCGCGAGTGACCGGGGCGTTCTCGCGGGCCAGCCGGAACACGTCTCGGACCATGCGCGGGCCTTCGCCGAGGTACTTCTGGACGAACTCCGAGCCAACCATTCGGATGAAGGTTGCCGTGGTCTGGTTGGCAACCGCCTCGCGGGATGGGCAGGACAAGAAGAAGAGGCAACGGCATAAGCCTAACCCGTTGACGACCCGCGCGGATTTTTCTTGAGTCAGCGCGGACATCCGAAGGCTATGCTGCTACAGCTTCTCGTTCTCCGACTGGGGAGGGACAGGAGCTGCGCGGAGGCGGCGCGCGCAAGCGCGCCAGGACGAGGCGGGACCGTGCTTGCCGAGGGGCTCCTCTCGGAGAACGGCCCACGAGGTCCGACGTCGTGGGCAGAGAGAGCCGCGCAGAGTCTCGACCGGGGTCCTCGGCCCCATCACTCGGCGGCGCTCCTCGAGCTGGCCCTCCCCGTGGGGTACCCAGGCCCAAGACGGCACAGATGTGTGCTTTTTCTCTGCGGCGCCCTGGGTCCAAGTTGGGCTGCTGATCGCCGCTGCATCACCCCGGATCCTTGGGACCACACCAGGCAAGCAACTGTTCCTTGGCTGCTTGCTGCAACAACAACAACAACAACAAAACAGTTGGGGTCGGGCTAGAATCAACTCGGGCTTGTCCCCCTACAGGGGGATTTCGACGAAAAATAAAAAATACCCTAAAAATAATCAAACAATAGTCCATAAATGGTCTGGGCACTATTTTTTGAGTACGTTTGACCTTCTTAGTGCATTTGTGGGGTATTTTTTATTTTTCGTCGGAAATCCCCCTGTAGGGGGACAGGCCCGACATAAGGCTAGATCAGGGCTGCTGCTGAGCGACTCGGGCGCAGAGGCACCAGGGAGCGGCAGGAGGACAAGGCGGGGGGAGGGCCGCGGGACGGCGGGAGCGCCCTCCGCGCGAAGCACTCCGGGCCTGTGCTGGAGCAGGCTCTCAAAGTCTTAGCAGGCAGCTGCCGGTGCGTCCCAGCGTTCGGCACGCGTCGGATCCGTGTCGTGCCGACTTCGGCGCCGGATTCTGACACCGCAGGGATCGTTCAGCCTTGAACGACCGGCCGCTTCCGAAACGTCCAAGTCGTTCCACATCAAACGATTCTGGGTCGCCAACGGCGTTCAACGTGGAACGCCGCTGGCGGGGTCGCCGCCGGACGAAACGACACGAACCTACCGCATCCAGGTAAAGGAGGTGACTCGCGCAAAGGTCAAGTGAGACACGACAGCGGGGAGACCCACGCGGTTGGCCAGGGCAGGACCCAGGGAGAAAGGCCGTCGGCGACAAGGGCGTACGATACAGAATCACCCGTCGCTGTGTTTCTTCTCCTCCTCCTCCTCCTCCTCCTCCTCCTCCTCCTCCTCCTCCTCCCTCCTCCTCCTCCTCCTCCTCCTCCTCCTCCTCCCTCCTCCTCCTCCTCCTCCTCCTCCTCCTCCTCCTCCTCCTCCTCCTCCTCCTCCTCCTCCTCCTCCTCCTCCTCGAGGCTCCCTCGGCGGCCCCTCGGCTCGGGGGATGCCGGGAGGGTGCTGCCCCTGGCACACCTGTGCCCCCAGCGCGCCGCTGCCCCTGGGAGCCCCATCTCGGGGCCCCGGCCCCGCGAGGGGCGCTCTGGAGGCCGTGGGGGCCTCCTCCGAGAGGAGGAGGAGGAGGAGGAGGAGGAGGAGGAGGAGGAGGACGAGGAGGAGGAGGAGGAGGAGGAGGAGGAGGAGGACTTTGGTAGGGGAACAAAAAAGTGGCATAAACGTAAAAACTCGGAGGTCCGCGCGGATTCCTCGGATCGGCGCTGGGGCCCCCCCCGGCGGCTCCGGCGCAGCCCCCTGGCGCGCTCCGCGCGCCAGGGAGGGGGGTCCAGCGCGGATCCGAGAAATCCGCGCGGACCTCCGAGTTCTTATGTTTATGTCATTGTTCGTTCCCCTATTTGGGGCCCGGGGCACTCTGGCAGCACTCGATGGCAGGACAAGCACATGCCATGCGTCATGATGCGGCTGGCTCGGAATCCGCTCCGGGAGCTCAAGAGCATCTGGCGACCCATCGCTCCTGGAACCAGTGCGGAGCATTAGGAGATCCTGGAAATCCTGGAGATCGCGGAAACCCTGAAGGTGTCATTATCAGGACGTCTTGCTCCTCTGAACTTCTGGCAACCCCCGGTCGGTCTCTCCAGGACACCGCCCCTGCCGGATCTCGAGGCCGAGTGCGGCTGCCCCGACGGCAGGAGTGGCCCCCTGCAGAGCGAGACATAGTGAGACGAAGCCAGGACGAGGGCAACGTCGGACTTGGACAAAAGGAATACTCTCTCAGACTGGCGGGTCCAGAGGATGTATCGGCCGCCGCGGCCGTTCCGAAGCGCCCCGGAGCGGTCCAAGAGCGTTCGAGAACACTCTGCGCGTCGCGAACAGGAGACGGACAGACAGGCACAGGGATACCGTAGGCACATACAATAAATTAGAGATCTTGCAATAATAAATGAGGGGGCACATCCGTCATCGGCACTGAGCGTCGCAGGGTGCCCCAGTGCTTTGCGGCCCCCTCGGGAGATGCGGAATTTCCGTGGGGCACCCGTTGGCAGGCGGATCTCGCTTTTCGGCGTGCCGATTGGGATGATGAGGAGGATGAGGATGAGGGTTATAATGATGAAGATGAAGATGAAGATGAAGATGAAGATGAAGATGAAGATGAAGATGCAGATGAAGATGAAGATGAAGATGAAGATGAAGATGAAGATGAATATGAAGATGAAGATGAAGATGAAGATGAAGATGAAGATGAAGATGAAGATGAAGATGAAGATGAAGATGAAGATGAAGATGAAGATGAAG